ACATGTTTTTATTGGCACTATAGGAATAAATTTAATTTAATTTAAATATTTATTATTGATATAAATAATTTTCAAATAAAAACAAAATAATCAAAAATTATTGGAATTTTCTTAATCTTAAAACGAAGGAATTTTGGGATTTAAAAAATTAAAATATGAAAAATAAAAAGTGAAATTTAAAATTTGTAAGGGATTGATTTAATAATTACTGATGAACAAACTGTAAAAGTTTTGATTTTATTTAGTTTGATGAGAGTAAAACGTTTCTCACCGCAGGAGCCTGAAAGTTTCGGTTTACTGAAAGTTTCTCTTTCTGTCGCAATGAAACCAAACCGAGCTTCAAACCAATGAATCTGTTTGAAAGAGCGAGATTTTTACCGTAAATCGTCATTTTATCCATTTCCAGCTCCACATCTGGGTCTGAATCCTCCTCGCTGTTAGTGAGCGTTTCCCAGCTAGCATCCATGCTGCTAGCTGAACTGCAAACACACACTGAGACTTCCGGGTGACGACAACAAGCCGCTAGTGACGCGTCAGCTTAGTGGAGGTGACAGAGCTTCTCTGCTGATTTGGTACAAAGAGCATTTGAAGGAAAAAAAAGTATTATATGAAAGTATTTTATTCTGAGGTAAACAACATCCTCCGCTGCTGATGACACGGACGTTTGTGTTTCCCTGAAAACGATCCGGCGGAAACATCGACCCTTGGAACCTTAGGAAACTGAGATCGTCTATAGATTTGACGAGTTCACACTAGTTCCAAGCAGGATAACTCGGACAAAAGGTGAACGTGTTTGACATTAAACGTGGTTTAGATACTCTTGGCTGGTAACCATCTTATTTGCTGAAAATACACTCACCGGCCACTTTGTTAGGTACCCCATGCTAGTAACGGGTTGGACCCCCTTTTGCCTTCAGAACTGCCTCAATTCTTGGTGGCATAGATTCAACAAGGTGCTGGAAGCATTCCTCAGGGAGTTTGGTCCATATTGACATGATGGCATCACACAGTTGCCGTAGATTTGTCGGCTGCACACCCATGATTCGAATCTCCCGTTCCACCTCATCCCAAAGATGCTCTATTGGATTGAGATCTGGTGACGCTGGAGGCCATTTGAGTACAGTGAAC